GTTCCCCCTTGGCCGCTGGCTGTTACCGGTCCCGCGCGGGGGCACCCGGTTTCTGCTGGGCCCCACGCGAGGACCGCGTTTTCCTTTAGTAGTATAGGGATGTCACGATGCCACCGGACATTTTGGATTTAAGAAGACTGCAGCCAATCTGCTGCAGAAGTTCTGGTGGCCCACCGTGATGAAAGATGCGAAGCTGTACGTGGAGACTTGTCAAGTCTGTCAAAGTGACAAGCCACGTACTCAGGCTCCTCATGGGCTCTTGAAACCTCTTCCGATTCCGGAAAAGCCTGGTGAGAGTCTGTCCATGGATTTCATGAATACTCTGATCACCAGCAAGAGTGGAATGCGCGATATCTATGTCATTGTGGATAGATTTAGTAAGTTTGCTAGACTAGTAGCGATGCCGGCAACAGCTAAAACAGAGTACATCATTAAGATGTTAAAGAGAATTGGGTTAGAGATTTTGGGTTGCCCAAATCCATAGTGAGTGACAGGGATGTCCTATTTATCAGTGAGTTGTGGAAAGCCGCTGCTGCGGAGCAGGGGACCCAGTTGCAAATGACTTCTGGGAATCACCCAGAGTCCAATGGCCAAGCCGAGCAACTGAAACGCGCTGTTCAACACCTGTTGAGGCATTACATCAAGCCCAATCAGGTGGACTGGGATGAGAAGCTTGCTCTCATCGCCAGCCTGTATAACAACGCTGTACACAGCGCCACCGGGGTGAGCCCGAACAGCTTACTGCTAACTTTCAAGCCTAGACTACCCTTAGACTTTCTTCTTCCTGAGAATCAGACCACTGCTGCACCAGGTACCTTAGAATTTGCTCATCGGTATGAACAGAAGATGCAGCAGGCTGTAGAACAGATGCAGAAGGCACAGGCTGCAATGATAGAGTCTGAAAATAGACACCGCCGTCCTTCTACGTTTCAGGTTGGGGACAGAGTCTGGGTTAAGTCTTCAGAACTGGGACAGGAGCACGGGATTTCCCGCAAACTCATGCCCCAGTACTTTGGGCCCTCGGAAGTCTTGGACATCGTTGGGACAGATCTGGATGGGCCATCTTATGTTATCCGGATCCCTGGTCATCTCCGAACTTACCCTGTCTTTCACGCCTCCAAGCTTGCACCTTTCAAGGAAACAGATGAGTTTCCTTCTCGTCGCTCAATGCTGCCCCCAACCATGGATGGAGAAGTGGGCATCGATGACATCGTGGATCATAGGGAGCTGCCAGCTCAGAGACCTGCAGGAAGGGGACGTCCTCCGAAACCGAAGCTGCAGTACCGCGTTCGGCTCAGACATCATACTGATCCCAAGGAGGACCGATGGTTCACAAGGGAAGAACTCATGCAGACCGTTCCTCAAGTTGTAGCCCAGTATGAGAAATCTCTGCAGAAGGGAAAGCGCCCCATGATTGAAGACTGAGCTTCTCAGAGGACTGTTGAAGTTAAGGAGGAGGGAATGCGAGGCCACTGCCTATATGAGCCCCATAAGGCCCCTTTTCGCAGCCCGTCGGCCGCCCTAAGTGAAGGCAGGATCGACGAGGCCCTCAGGGCCCTATTCTGGCCACCACGCAACTCAGGGAAATTCAGGCAGTTGCGCAGCACCAGTTGGTTGAGTGAACCCAGGCCCTGGGCCGCCTGTGTGAATGTATGTGAAGCAGGCCCTGGGCTGGATACGGGTACTGGGCCAAACACAGGCCAAAGGCAGTTGGGCACATGCAACCACCTCAGGCCCAAGGCCTGTTCTCGTCGTGTTGGGCCTCAGGCTATCGGGGCCTACTGGAAGCGTCCTGGGACTGGACGCAGGCAGGTCACTTCGATATAGCAAAGGGCCTGCCTCCGTATTCGGCATTCGGGTGCTGGCTGCATGCTGCGCTATTTGCTGGCTGGCGCCTACGCTCTCACTTGCGAGCAGGGAAGGAGCACGCAGCCATAGCCGAGCTGCGCTGCTGTAAGCTGGGTGAGGCGCAGGGTGGTCCTTGGGTGCTAGTGGCATCTGTGCGTTGGGGAACAGGGTTGTGAGTGTGGCGAGAGACATAACTGGTGCTGGAAGCGTGCGACATTGGTCACCATATGCTCGTACTTCGGGAAAGCTGCTGACGTCATCTTTCGGCACCTTAGTATAGCCTAGATAGGATCTGCCAACTCTGGTTCTTCGTTGATGATGATGGGACTATTTCAGAATTGTCAATTATGAACTCTTGGTGTGTTCTTATTTGGTGAATCTCGTGATGCAATTCTGCTGTTGGTTCAAGGTCACGACTATCTGGACTCATATGTATGATGCTGTTTGATTGCTGAAGTTCGCTATTGCTCATTTTCCTTGCACTAGCTAGGTGTTTGTTGCACTCTTCTGTATCTACCAAAACAGCAAGAAAAAGTGCAACTACCCTGCCCTGCTGTTGGTACGGCGCACGGGCTGGAGCCGGGCCGCATCCCGTGCGGTGCACCGAACGGTGTGGCACACGGTGCGGTTGCAAGTATGGTCAAAAGTCATGCCCCAAGTTTGAGAAATGCCCTCGGAAAGGGCCTAAGGTCAACAAGGGGTACCCAGGGCTGAGTCAAAAACAGCAGGCAGAGGGCCCATGTGAGGTAGTTGGACTCTTGGAACATCAAGAGTCACAGACCAAGCACGGGAAAAGCAGGCCCAATGTCAAAGTCAACGTCAACCCAGTAGTCAGCCTCCGCCATCGATCAGATGCACATCGATGGTTGTCTGCAGGTATCCGGAAGATTCCGCTCCCGACTGGGATAAGATACCCCTGCTTCAAGGCGGCATCCAGGCCGTCAACATCGGGCAAATCTGAAAGGTCGCCATGGTCAAAGGGGAGACTGGTCCACGCCAGTCGGCACTGGGCCATGCTACAAAAGGACAGCCAGACACTGGGGAAGGCATTCTGCCGTGGGCGGGCTCGATGCGAGGGCTGCTGCGCGAGGCTGCTGGAGTGAGACACTGGTGCCAGGTACTGCTGGAGGGCGCCACCTTAGAGGGAGATTATGTTGGCGTGGACATAGTCGACATAGCTGTAGACTTGGTAGGTGCTCGGGATTGCCGAGGAGGAGGAGGATCTTGGCTGTGAGACTGACGGGAGATGAGGGCACGCTTACCTGGACTACAGCTATGGCGTCGACACGAGTGAACGAACTGACGTGGAAGCCTCCACGAAGGTGAGGAAGTGGTGCGCCGTCCTCCATATCTTCTATCTTATTGCTGACGCGGAAGGAGGCTGGGCGCCCTGCTATGATCTGCACAGTGATTATGTCAGGGGGCGTCAGAGTGAACATGCATTGCTTAGGTGGCGTTAGAGGAGAAGTCCGAAGTGGAAATGGGAGAGAGAGAGAGAGAGAGAGAGAGAGAGAAGTGTGCGATTCATTATTATTGATACTCTCCCTCTCCTCTTCTCTGTCTTTCCTCCCCTCTTTCTCTTCTCTCATGCAGCTCTTCTTTGATGAGAAGATACTACGATAGTCTTGAATTGCGCATATGATCGAGACATGGACTTGTACCACCAGTTGTAACTGATTTGGGAGACTTGATGAGGTGTGCAGGGTTCAGACCATACTTGCAAGCGGACGCCGTCCGGGCGGTTCCGCACGTGAGGCAGACCGCCGGACCAGACCCACGCAGCGCACGAATGTGCGCCCGACGACCAGTTACGCCCCACACCCCCCCCCCAAAAAAAAAAAAAATGCCCCCATCCGGTCCGGGAGGAGGGTGCCGCACGCGGCAAAGCGGACCTGACCGGACACTCGTCCGGTCTGTCTGCTTGCAAGTATGGTTCAGACATGTGTTGCATTGCTAACTGGCTTCTCGACGAGACTGGGTTCATTAAAATTGCACCAAAGACACAGCTATAATGACCGGGCGCTCTATTCGGGTGGAGAGGGTAGGATGAGAGGGGAGGGGAAAGTCGCGTTTGGTAAACTTGCTGGCTATCATGAGTGGAAGATGGTTTCTTGAAGCTGTACCTCTATCAAGTGCAAAAAATCAAAGAGAGAAGTTTAAATTTAGGAAAATGAAATTGCTGCAATGTAGTCTCTTAGCAAAATTTAAGGGACAGTTTTAAATTAGGGGAAATGAAATTGCTGGGATGCGGCATGTGCATTCGCCGGATATTGCTCTCAAAAGCCTTCTTCGTTGGTGGTTTTTCCTTTGGCGGGCTTTAGGAGCAGCAGACACAACAGCCACAAGCTGCAAAGAAGGAAGAACCGCCGAGCACGGCGGCTCCGTCGGCGGACGACACGCAAAAAAAGTTTCAAGCTTTTACCGGCAAGGGATACGTCTTGCGTCGGTAATTGTCTGGCTCAGTAATTCTCTGCTCAGTAATTTTGTGCTCAGTAATTTCTGTTTGCTGATCGAGTGTGGCACGGAGTTGTTCATCTTCTCTGCGCACTTCGATTGTAGACTTTAATAAATAAATAAAAAAGTTTAAAGCCATCCGTCGACTCTGTCTTTGCTTGAGTGGGTTCAATGTTGTTTTTGCTCTTTCAATGCATCCCAAAGTCCTCCTAGGTCCCATGTCCCAGTCCCAGTCCCAGTCCCAAAGTCCACCTAGGTCCCATGTCCTGGACCAGGATTTCAGTCCCTGTCCCAGATCCACCTCCCAGTCCCAGTCCCAGATCCACCTCCCAGTCCCAGTCCCAGATCCACCTCCCAGTCCCAGATCCACCTCCCAGTCCCAGTCCCAGTTCCAGATCCACCTCCCAGTGCCAGTCCCAGATCCACCTCCCAGTCCCAATCCCAGTCCCAGTTCCAGCCAGAAGTGAAGAGAACCACAGAGAGGTGGACTTGGGTGCTTTTGAAGGCGATCCCCTCCTGGACCTGTCCTTTTCTTTCCGTTCAGTGCTCGATCATCCGATTCATCACGTTTATCAGACTTGCTTCAGCCGTGTTGGTTTTCTGTTGTGTGGCTGACTCGCGCCTTTTCTTTGTTCTTTTTGTTGTATGTCCGACTTTGTCATCTCTCACCTCAGCCGTTCTTCACTGTTGACAACAAAATGTTTTTAATGCTTTTAATACTTTTTATGGCACCTTTTTTTTTTTTTTGGGTACGTCTTGTGACTCGTGTCCATTCTTTAGGTCTCATCTGATTCATCAATTCTCGACTGTTAACGGCAACATTTTTTGGTACTTGAGGAGGCTCTGGAAGAGGAGTCGGCGGCGGTGAAGGGGGCGAAGGAGGAGGAGGAGGAGGAGGAGGAGTGGGTGGAGTAGGTGTGTGGTCAGTTGCTTCACTGCGCATCTGAATTTAGCTTCCAAGTGTATCTCAGCTCACCTCAGGTCATCGGTGGCTGAGGAGATGCGCATCTGAATTCAGCTTCCAACTGTATCTCAGCGCAGCTATGGGACTTTGCGTTTTTATTTCCTTCTCCTTTATCAAGTTTTATGGATTTTTTTTTCGCCGTTTTATTATGTACCCTTCTTTTTTTTCTCTTCATGTGTTTGGTTGTGTTATTCTTTTTTTTGGGGGGGCGGGATTGAAGGGGCAGGTGGAGGGGTGCGTGTGTTGGCAGAAGAAGGGGGGGGGGGGGGGGGGGGGGGGGGGGGGGGGTGAGTACAGGTGAAATGTGATTTCCATCATTTAGCTTTGGCTTAGGGTTAAGTGTCTTAAGACTGGTTAGCAGTTAAAAGTTGGTACTCAGAAGCTAAAATTAGAAACATTAGTTTGTACACAGAGTCAGCTCATGACAGATCAGTGCTTGTGGTGAAATAGTATGTATGGAGGCACTGGAGCTGGGGACCCCAAAAAAAAAAAACTTGTCATCATCTGTTCAGGATTCTGTTGAAGTGGCCTGCAGCAGTGGTAGCTAGTCCTTGATCTTTTTTTTTTTTTTT